TTAGTACATGGCATTCACTTCTTCAACTGGCCCAGGGCAATTTGAGGTAGTATGCATAGGTGAATGACAAACTTCACAACTTGTAGCTACTAGGGCAAGATAATGAGTTTTGTTTAAGCGAAGACTTTCAACTATATTTGCAAGTTTAGACATGTCTTGGGCTAGCTTTACCAAGAGGGGGTCTCTTTCAGATTTGGGGTCTCTTGAATCCCTTGAGCTCACATGTTATCTATTAAGAGCAAAGGTCCTTATTAACTCCCATACAGCCCTTGGTTCCATATTTTCCACATACCCATTTATAGCGACATCCAAGACTTGTGCATCATATGTTGACAACCCATTGTGGAAATATTATACCAAGCGCTACTCAAGAATCTGATGGTTAGGGCACCAGGTAAGCATCTCTTGAAATCTGCTCCAAAATTCAAAGAACGTCTCAAATGGCTCTTACTTAGCTGTTGAAATTTCTTTGCGGGCGGCTGAAATCTCTTTGCGGGCGGTTGAAATCTTTGTGGAGAGGAAGTATTTATCCAAGAATGCTCTCTTCAAACTGTCCATGACTCATATCCACCTAGAGTGATAGGTTCATGTACCATTCTTTAGCTTTGCCTTCCAAAGATAAGTGAAAGACCTTCCATATGATGTCATCAATACTAGCTCCTACTGGCATCATAGACAAGCACTGCATATAAAGAGTCTGGAGGTGTAAGTATGGGTTTCCTCCTCCAAGACCATGGAACTTAGGCAATGAGTGAATCAATTGACCTTTAATTTCAAAATCTGCATTGAATGTAGGAAAAGCACCAGGCATAGGTCTAAAGTTCCTGTCAGATTGAGTTAGTTCTTTAATGGTTCTACCCCTAGGTTGTTCATTAATCTTATTATGGCCATTATTTTCTCCTTGCCCCTCATTACCACCATTATTAGGTCTATTATGGTTACCATTCCCATTCCCACTGTTTAGACCATGAGGAGTGTAACATCTTGAGTTTTATTGATTTTTAATAACCTCTTTTGGTTGATTTTGAGGATAGATTAGTGATTTAATGTTAATCTTGGTGTTTGGGTTGGAATTGAGGCATGTTGGAGGAATAGGTGAACATACCCCTCTCAGGGTATGTTCCAGGGGGGATTGTCTTTTAGGCAGGTTTGGCCGCAGCGAAGTTATAGGGACGCCGCAGTGAAGTTGTTCAGGTGAGTAGGGTTTCCCCTCTCGGGAAGGTTTCACCGTGGTGAAGGTAAGGGTATGCCGCGGCAAAGATTTTCTGGGCGAGAGAGTTTCCTCTCGGGAAGCTTTCGCAGCAGCGAAGATTGGAGTTCGCCGCGGCGAAGTCGGGTTTTCAGGCGAGTAATCCCTCTCTGGATTAGTTCATCGTGGCAAAGTTATGGGTTTGCCACAGCGAAGGAGTCCGAATCTATATAGTCGCGGGAGGGGTTTAGTTGTGCGAAGATTAGAAAAATCTGAGGTAGAGAGAGAGGCTCTGCTAGGGTTTCGCTATTTTGGCTTGGAGGGGGCATTTCTAAGGATCCATTACCTCAAGTAAGTGATTTTAACCTCTAATCTACTTTCTTTCTTGGAATTTCTGAAGATTTATGGTGGAACCCTAGAGTTTTTTAGGTTGTGATGGAATTGAGGTTTTTGACCAATTGTTTTGAGTTTAATTGATTGCTTTGGGTTAGTCTAAGTTTTTAATCGGTGTAGTTTCCTTGGATTTGAAGAACTTGGAGTTTTTGAAGTTAGGGTTTATGAGATTGGGAGGTTTGTGATTGAGGATGACAATGTGGAGATTGATTTTGAGTTTTGTGATTTGGGTTATGATAAGGAGGGTTAAATTGGGTGTTTAATCAGTTTAGAATATTGTTAAGACTTCAATTGTTCAAATGGGCTGTTTGGGTGTTGAATTCCTATAGTGGGTCCTTGAGGTTATGAGTTTTAATTGATGTTTAGAAAGGAATTAAGGTTTTAAATTGATTTTATGACCTTGGAGTGTTGCCTTGATGGTTATACCGTTTGAGTTGGGTAGAGTTTGATTAGAGATAGGAATTTTTGTGTCCCTAAATGTTGTTTTGGCCACATTATTAGTTTGAAAGCTAATACATGATGGTTGTGTGTTTGTGTGCTTGTGTAGACCGGTTGTGAGCCTTGTTGGTGCACGGACCTTATCGTTGGTTGTTATTCCTTGCTTAGGCGAGAGGTAACCACTTTCCAATCCTTAGTACATGCTTCTGTGGTATTGTGAGTAGATTTATGTTTTGTGCTCTGAGTAACAATTATGTTCAAAGTGTATGTTGTATATAAAAAGGAAAACCGTCTTATGGGGTTTCGATTGATGATGAATGAATCTTGGAATTGTGAAAGATATGCCACTGAAAGAAGTTACTTATGAAATGTTCAATTACTATTTGATTATGGTTTGAGCATGATGCATGAATTGGGAATTGGTGAGAGTTTTTTATAGTTACTACCACGTGGTAAGGCCTCCATTAATGCATGATGGTTGGCTCTTTACGTCCCCCAGAGTGAGGGATAGGTCTTTTATGGCTCCTTACGTCCCCCATAGTGAGGGATAGGCTGGGTTCGACTCTTGAAAATCCCCCAAAGTAAGGGATATGGTTGATGGGATTGCATCATTGCACTTGCATGATTTATTGTGGCTATCATTTATAATATGACTTGTGAACTGCCCCACTTGACACCTCACGAGCACCTATTTAGTAGTACTTTGAATTGGAAAGATTAGTTATTGGGATGTTGTCTCACCCCATGGTTTACAATGTTTTCAGGTGAAGGTTCCGGGTGTGTGCCATTGGGAAGAGACGCAGAGGCTTGAGCTTGGTTAGCTTTAGGCCTCTAGCCCTTGTGTATGTATGGCTAGTATATATTGCCACATTTAGGACTCCTTTTGAATTATTTTGATTACCTGGCCTTGTTGGAAACAGGAGAGAATGTTATCTCCTTATTTTGGTTGGCCGGAGGCCATTTCTATTGCTTTGTGAAACTTTGATATACATGGTTGAAACTAATTGGATGGGCTGATTTTGATGTTTTTTGTTATCCGGTGATAAACCTTGTCGCTAGGTAATCAAAGTTTTACTAGGGAAATGCAGCAAGTGAGACATTACCTAGGTCATTCTTCTCAAGGAGCCTTAAGTTGTATTTCAATTCTTAACAATTCACTTTTAATTATCAAATTACCAAGATGAAAGCTTGAGTTTCAGAAAACAGAAATTAAAACAAGAAACAAATCTAATGAATGGTAAAATGCAAAAGAAGATTCAGATAAGAGATAGTAGTTCCCTTAGCAATTTATCCAACCTTCCTTGTTCAATCTTATAATGTGGAGTCTTTTAATGTCAATTAAATGAATAGATTCAACTACTGCTCAAATCTCTCTAAACACAGATTAGAAACAACTATCTTACTAGATTCATTGTTTTGGTCTGTGAGAAGGAACATCAATTGACAAGAACACTTGAGAAGCAAGTTGCAATTCTCTAAGAATGATCACAACTGTGAATCATCAATATATTTCAACCAAAATTCAGATTTATAGAATAACAGTCCAAGTAAAAACGAATTAGATTTACAAATCAACAGAGAATCCTCTATTCAACTGAATTAAAGGACACAACTCACATCTAAATGTTCAATCAGATCTAAATTCCAAGAAACATAAATCTGATCATCCAACCTTTATTCTAACCACAAATGTTCAACTGAAACAAATGAACCTTAGAATAGAAAGTAGAAACTAGATCTGGATGACTCCCTGTTCAGCTCTATGAACTTAGGTCAGCTTCATTGCTAGAAGAACTTGGAAATACAGCTACTCATACTCTGGATTAGGGTAGAAACAGCAAGAAGTGATTAAAATTCATGGTTGATCGGTGGAAATTGATGAATTTGGACGAAAATGGAAGAAGAAATTGAGAGAGGGCGGAGAGAGCAAGAAAATCGCGTCTAGAGGGAGAATGAGGAACTGAAAATCTGATCTCCCGGTTGAAGCGCGCGACTCTGCATTTAAATCTAGAATTTTTCGTCATCCGCCACGGCGCCTTCGTCCATCCACCGTGGCGCCTGGCCCGTACGATGCTATTTTGAGTAGTGATCCTGAGCTTCATGTAAATACCAATCCATCGTGGCGCCTCTGTCCATCCGCCGCGGCGCTTTTTACCGAGAGTCCTCTTGGAAATCTGCCGTGGTGCCTTCCCAAATCCGCTGTGGCGCCTCAGACAGAACTGAAACTCCCTGAAATTCACACCAAAGCAGGAATCAAAAGTACACACATATAAAATCATATAAAAACATGTAAAAACACCTGCAAAACCTCACAATTCCTCTCACCAACTCTTATGTACAATGGAAGCTAATTATGCCCAAAGTATGCAATTATAGATGGCAAAAGCATGAGTTTAGGGCTAGAAATGTATGCAAATAATGAGACTTATCATCTGGGCTGGAGGCTCAGAGGCCCAATGGTTGTTAATGAATGATTTTAGTTGCATGCAACAGAGTTCGAGTTTGAACCGAATTTAAATGTTAATTTCTAAAGTTATGTAATTTCTTTCTACTATGGTAGTTTGTTGTAACAACCTTCCTTTTCTACCATAGTAGTGAATTTTACGATGAGTTTATAATATTTTTGAGGTTAAGGGTTTTACAAATTGGTATTCAGAGCCGGTTCGTTTCTTTGAAATTGTTTCTTTTCCTAATGGCAATATACATACTTCATACATACCTTCCCTGTTTATTTTTTGTTTCCTTTCTTTTCTTTACTAATGAGGGTTTCCATCCTTAGTTGGGGAGAGGAAGAATAGTACGGACACGTCAGACAGATCCAGTTGGTAACGGACCGCCTCAAGAGAATGAGGCCTTTTTGAGACAAATGAGGGAGATGATGACAGCAGTAGTAGATGAAAGATTGAGGAAGTTTGAAGAAGACTTCACAAGGAAGCACCAAGAGTCAGTCAATCAAGAGGATTGAGAGAACGAGGTGACTATGGAGGCACAAGGAGAAGGAGAAAGGGGGTTTAGAGGTGGTGATCGAGCTGGAGACTTACCTCAGAGGGAGGAGCATCGAGCAATTAGCCAGGGAGGAGATACTTCAAAGGGAGTGATTTACCCTCCGCTACTGAATGACATCACCAAGGTATGGAGAGAGGTGCATCGTCATGATCCTCCACAGTTCAAGAGAAGTTTGGAACCGTCAGATGCAGAGAAGTGGATTGAGCGGATAGAGACAATCTTTACTGCTGTTCCTTGTCTTTCCCTGCTCAAGGTACAAGTGGCGGTTACCTATCTTGTGGAGCAAGCAAGGCATTGGTGGGATAGTGCAAGACCTTCTGATATATCTCAGTTGGACTGGGATACCTTCAAGCGAATATTCTATGATCATTTCTTTCCAAAGGAGTTGCGAATGGAAAAGCAATTCCTGTTCTATTCCTTGAAGCAGGGAGAGATGCATGAGGATCAGTTTATCACAAGGTTTATAGACTTAGCGAAGTATGTGCCCAGGCAGACGGGAGATCATTCGTTCTGGCTAGCTCAACAGTTGATGAACCATGCAAGGCCGAAGTTGAAACAGCAGTTGGCCCTGTTAGAGGTCAATACCTTTGAGGAGATGTGTGTAAAGCTGCGGGTCGCAACTAGAAGGACAAGAGAGGTGGTAGAGGCAAGGAGGGCTGAGAACCAAACTAGAGCAGCCCGTTATCTTGGTCCAACAGGAGGAGTGGGGAAAAGAAATCAATACCACTCTGGGAGCTCGAGTAGCTCAGGGAGAAACAGGAATCAAGGGAAGAATCAGAGGGCAAACGCTCAGAGGGGCTTTATGCAAAGGCGCCAGAATCCAAACAATCAGACTGGTAGGGGACAGAGCTCCCGTCGAGATTCATCAGTGACCACCCCGAGTGTTACTGGACTGTGCCCCAGATGTGGGGGTAGGCATGCGGGGCAATGCTAGGAGTGCTTTCGATGCCACTGGTGGGGACATATTGCCAGAAACTGTCCAGAGAGTCAGTCGACACCTCAAGCTGATCGTTCTACTGTTCCAGGACATGTCTATGCGATGACAAACGAGGAGGCTTCTATATCTCTGAACTTGATTCAAGGTAACATTCTACTTGAGGGATATGTTATTTCTGCTTTATTTGACTCGGGTGCTACGCACTCCTTTATTTCTATGGACTGTGCTCAGAAGTTGAGCTTGCCTGTGGTTGAGCTACCTTATGACTTAAGAGTGTCTACTCCTGCTAGAGTCACTGTCGTAACTGGAAGAGCGTGTCTAAAGCTTGCACTTCAGTTTGAGGATTGAGATTCTACAATAGATTTGTTTTGTCTACCTCTGAAAGGTATCGACGTAATTATTGGCATGAATTGGTTGATGGCCAATGGAGCAATCCTTGATTGTAAAAAGAGGTTGGTGACGATTCCGATAGGTGCCTTATGTGCTGAAATGTCAAGTGGTCCGGTTTTGTTGTTAGCTAGTCAAGTAGAGAAGGCGGTGAGGAAGGGCTGCCAGGCCTTCATTGTCTTCTTTTCAAATAGTGAGGATGAGGCAGGCGGAATTGAACAGATAGCTGTGGTGAGGGACTACCCCGAAGTGTTTTCAGACGAGGTTACAGGACTACCTCTAGAGCGAGAAGTGGAGTTCGCCATAGAGTTGGTTTCGGGAACCACCCCAATCTCTAAGGCTCCCTATAGAATGTCTCCTTCAGAATTGGTTGAATTGAAAAGGCAGCTAGAAGAATTGTTAGAAAAGGGATTTATCCGACCAAGTGTGTCACCGTGGGGATTGCCGATTTTGTTCATGAAGAAGAAATATGGTAGCTTGAGGCTGTGTAGCGACTACCGACAATTAAACAAGGTCATAATCAAGAACAAGTACCCATTGCTTAGAATTGATGACCTATTGGACCAATTAGTCGGAGCATCAGTTTTCTCTAAGATTGATCTGAGGTCAGGATACCATCAGTTGAGGGTATGAGCAGAGGACATTTCAAAAACGGCCTTTCGAACTCGTTATGGACATTATGAGTTTTTGGTGATGCCTTTTGAACTGACAAATGCTCCAGCTGTCTTTATGGACTACATGAATCGGATCTTCCAACCTTATTTGGACAGATTTGTGGTAGTATTCATCGATGACATTCTGATTTATTCTAGAAGTGAGGAAGAACATCGAGAGCATTTTCACATCGCACTACAGATTTTGAAGGATCACTAGTTGTATGCTAAGCTATCAAAGTGTGAGTTTTGGCTAAAAGAAGTGAAGTTCTTGGGTTATGTGGTGTCAGCTCAGGGAGTAGCAGTGGATCCTAACAAGGTAGACGCGGTACTTAAGTGGGAAGTCCCTAGATCGGTAACTGAGGTGTGGAGTTTTGTGGGATTAGCTGGATATTATCGGAGGTTCATCTAAGGCTTTTCTCAGATCGCAATGCCATTGACTAAGTTAACCAAGAAGGATCAACCGTTTGTTTGGACGGAGAAATGTGAATCAGCGTTCCAAGAGCTGAAGACCAAGTTGACTACAGCTCCAGTGCTTACACTCCCAACCCCTGGAGTACCGTATGTTCTTTACACCGATGCGTCACTAAAGGGTTTGGGTTGTGTGCTAATGCAAAATAATAAGGTGGTGGCATACGCTTCCAAGCAGCTAAGGCCACATGAAGAAAACTACCTAACCCATGACTTGGAGCTAGCGGCAGTAGTTTTTGCACTAAAGATTTGGAGGCACTATCTGTATGGCTCCCAGTTCGAAGTCTTTAGTGACCATAAAAGTTTGAAATACTTGGTGGATCAGAAAGAGTTGAACAACCGGCAACGTCGTTGGATGGAGTTCCTGAAGGACTACGACTTTAAGATTAAGTATCATCCTGGAAAAGCAAATGTGGTAGCAGATGCTCTGAGTAGAAAAGCAGTGCATGTGTTCTGTATAAGCTTAAAGGAACAATTCTTGCTCGAGGAGTTATTAGAGATTCCAATTGTACCGTCGGAGCAGGCTACTTTATGTGCGGTGCTCGGAGATTATGAATTCTATCAGGATTTACGAGCGGCTCAAGGAGAAGATGATCAGTTGGCAAAGATTTGGGTAGAATTAGAGGATGGCCCAGTACAGGACTATGAACTTGGAGATATGGGCATCTTGAAGTATAAGAATCGAATCTGTGTTCCCCAGGATGAGGAGATTAAAAGAACTATCCTAGAGGAGGCTCATCGAAGCGTTACACCATCCACCCCGGCGCAACCAAGATGTACCACGACCTAAAGCAACAGTATTGGTGGCCTAACATGAAGAAGGAAGTGACTGACTTTCTACTCCGATGTTTAACTTGTCAGAAAGTTAAGATAGAGTACCAACGACCTGGAGGTTTGTTGCAAGGACTAGAAATCCCTCAGTGGAAGTGGGACAGCATCTCTATGAACTTCATTGTAGGTTTGTCGAGGACACCCGAAGGTTATGACGCTATTTGGGTGGTGGTGGACAGATTGACAAAATCTGCTCACTTTTTACCCTACAAAGTCAATTATACCTTGGAGAGAATGGCCAAGTTGTACATAAATGAAATCGTCAGGCTTCATGGGGTACCGTCGAGTATAGTCTCAGACTGAGGTTACTTCTAACTTCTGGAAAGCGGTGAATGCGGCTTTGGGTACTAAGTTTAAGTTCAGTACGGCATATCACCCACAGACCGATGGATAGACCGAGCAGACGATTCAGACGCTAGAGGATATGTTGAGAGCTTGTGCCATTGAATTCAAGGGGAGTTGGATTGATCACCTACATTTGGCTGAGTTTGCCTACAACAACAGCTACCATGCCAGCATCCAGATGGCCCCCTATAAAGCACTTTACGGCCGGAAGTGTCGATCGCCTCTCTGTTGGACGAAACTAAGTGAAAGGACGGTTTTAGGACCAGACTTGGTAGATGCCACTACAGAGAAGATTGAGGTCATTAAGCAGAAGTTGTTGACAGCTTAGAGCCGACAAAAGAGTTATGCTAATAGGAGGAGGAAACCATTGGAATTTTATGAGGGTGACCATGTGTTTTTGAGGAGGAGCTTGTTTTTGACCGGCAAAAGAGTTATGCTGATAGGGTTGGAATTGAGGCATGTTGGAGAAATAGGTGAACATACCCCTCTCAAGGTATGTTCAACTTCGCCACGGCGAACCTGGAGTTCCAGGGGGGATTGTCTTTCAGGCAGGTTTGGCCGGGGCGAAGTTATAGGGACACCGCGGCGAAGTTGTTCAGGTGAGCAGGGTTTCCCCTCTCGGGAAGGTTTCACCTCGGCGAAGGTAAGGGTATGTCGCGGCGAAGATTTTTTGGGCAAGAGAGAGTTTCCTCTCGGGAAGCTTTCACCGCGGCGAAGATTGGAGTTCGCCGTGGCGAAGTCGGGTTTTCAGGCCAGTAATCCCTCTCCAGATTAGTTCACCGTGGCAAAGTTATGGGTTTGCCGCGGCGAAGGAGTCTGAATCTATATAGTCGCAGGAAGGGTTCAATTGTGCGAAAATTAGAAAAATCTGAGGTATAGAGAGAGGCTCTGCTAGGGTTTCGGTATTTTGGCTTGGAGGGGGCATTTCTAAGGATCCATTACCTCAAGTAAGTGATTTTAACCTCTAATCTACTTTCTTTCTTGGAATTTCTGAAGATTTATGGTGGAACCCTAGAGTTTTCTAGGTTGTGATGGAATTGAGGTTTTTGACCAATTGTTTTGAGTTTAATTGATTGCTTTGGGTTAGTCTAAGTTTTTAATCGGTGTAGTTTCCTTGGATTTGAAGAACTTGGAGTTTCTTCAATTGTTCAAATGGGATGTTTGGGTGTTGAATTCCTATAGTGGGTCCTTGAGGTTATGAGTTTTAATTGATGTTTAGAAAGGAATTAAGGTTTTAAATGGATTCTATGACCTTGGAGTGTTGCCTTGATGGTTATACCGTTTGAGTTGGGTAGAGTTTGATTAGAGATAGGAATTTTTGTGTCCCTAAATGTTGTTTTGGCCACATTATTAGTTTGAAAGCTAATACATGATGGTTGTGTGTTTGTGTGCTTGTGTAGACCGGTTGTGAGCCTTGTTGGTGCACGGACCGTATCGTTGGTTGTTATTCCTTGCTTAGGCGAGAGATAACCACTTTCCAATCCTTAGCACATGCTTCTGTGGTATTATGAGTAGATTTATGTTTTGTGCTCCGAGTAACAATTATGTTCAAAGTGTATGTTGTATATAAAAAGGAAAACCGTCTTGTGGGGTTTCGATTGATGATGAATGAATCTTGGAATTGTGAAAGATATGCCACTGAAAGAAGTTACTTATGAAATGTTCAATTACTATTTGATTATGGTTTGAGCATGATGCATGAATTGGGAATTGGTGAGAGTTTTTTATAGTTACTACCACGTGGTAAGGCCTCCATTAATGCATGATGGTTGGCTCTTTACGTCCCCCAAAGTGAGGGATAGGCCTTTTATGGCTCCTTACGTCCCCCATAGTGAGGGATAGGCCGGGTTCGACTCTTGAAAATCCCCCAAAGTAAGGGATATGGTTGATGGGATTGCATCATTGCACTTGCATGATTTATTGTGGCTATCATTTATAATATGACTTGTGAACTGCCCCACTTGACACCTCACGAGCACCTATTTAGTAGTACTTTGGATTGGAAAGATTGGTTATTGGGATGTTGTCTCACCCCATGGTTTACAATGTTTTCAGGTGAAGGTTCCGAGTGTGTGCCATCGGGAAGAGACGTAGAGGCTTAAGCTTGGTTAGCTTTAAGCCTCTAGCCCTTGTGTATGTATGGCTAGTATATATTGCCACATTTAGGACTCCTTTTGAATTATTTTGATTACCCGGCCTTGTTGTAAACAGGAGAGAATGTTATCTCCTTATTTTGGTTGGCCGGAGGCCATTTCTATTGCTTTGTGAAACTTTGATATACATGGTTGAAACTAATTGGATGGGCTGATTTTGATGTCTTTTGTTACCCGGGCCGGAGGATCAAAGGCCCAATGGTTATTAATGAATGATTTTAGTTGCATGCAACAGAGTTCGAGTTTGAACCGAATTTAAATGTTAATTTCTAAAGTTATGCAATTTCTTTCTACTATGGTAGTTTGTTGTAACAGCCTTCCTTTTCTACCATAGTAGTGAATTTTACGACGAGTTTATAATGTTTTTGAGGTTAAGGGTTTTACAAGGAGGCACTTCAGCTATAATTTCTTCTTCTACTTCCTCACTCTCACTAGATGACTGGGGTAGATCTCGTAAAATAAGCAGGCTATAAGATCCTGTATGTCTACCTCTCCTGCCTCTACGTGC